GGTGGCATGGAGCTAGATGGAGATGTTTTTCCTTCTATGGGCAACAGAAACGGAGAGAGAGGCCGCAATAATTCTGTTAGCGAACATCATCGAGCGGAAATTCCATCCAGAACAATTTTGGCCGGAAATATCAGTAGCATTGTCGAAGACTATGAGCTGAAGGTCCTTTTTGAGGTACCGTATTTCAGCAGTCTTTTTTTGGTTCCCACAAATTCTTTATTAAGGAAATGCATTGGTATGTTGATATTCTGGATTTGATTACTTCGTACTGAGAATACTTTTACTTGTTCAGCAATTTGGAGACATCCAGGCTCTTCATACAGCTTGCAAGAATCGTGGTTTTATCATGGTATCCTACTATGATATAAGGGCTGCTCAGAATGCGGCGAGAGCACTCCACAATAAGCTGTTAAGAGGAACGAAACTTGATATTCGTTATTCTATCCCTAAGGTATGATTCACTGTTCTTATGAAAGATACTTGTGACTTGTCAGTTCTTGTGACTTATGTTGATTTGTATCTATCTTACAATTTTCTTGGTACCAGGAAATTCCTTCAGGAAAAGACGCTAGTAAAGGAGCCCTGTTGATTAATAATATTGACTCGTCTATTTCAAATGAAGAACTCAATCGAATGTTCAAATCGTATGGAGAAATCAAAGAGGTTTGTATATTGAGATTCTCCGTTTAGTTACTTTTCGGAGGTAGATTCTAATGCTGTTTCTGTGGTTTGCAGATTCGTAGAACCATGCACGATAACCCACAGATATACATAGAATTCTTTGACATCCGAGCGGCAGAGGCTGCTCTTAGTGGTCTGAATGGACTCGAGGTGGCTGGGAAGCAGCTTAAACTTGCGCTAATCTATCCAGAGAGTCCAAGGTGGGTGGCTTGTTATTATTATTTTTTTTCCCCTTGTTTGGCTGTGAACGAATACAAATCCTAAATCAATATGATTTGAACATGTGCCTTGTTGTTAAGTCTTTACAAGGATGCCAGTTGTGTTGATGTGTGGGATTCACCCTTTCTTTTTTCGTCATTTCAGTTACATGTCACAGTTTGTTGCACATGATGCTGACGGGTGTCTACCGAAAATATCTTTTTCTAATACATCATCTGGGCACATGGGTATGCTTTTGCATTCAACATTTGTAATTCTTTTTTTTATTGCATAAGTCGTCATCTTGGTACTCAAATCACCGCCGTTAAATATCTTTGTCTCAGGGAGACATTTCCCAGGAATAATTCCTTCAACCTCCATTGATGGTGGACCTATGCGGATTAGTCATAGTTCTGTTGGATCACCTGTGAACTCCTTCATTGAACGTCATAGGAGTCTCAGCATTCCTATTGGATTTCCACCTTCGGCAAACGTCGTCTCAGCCAGCAAGCCCGGAATCCAGGAGCATGTCCACCCTTTTGACAGTTCAAATATGGGGATCCAAAGCATGCCAAACCTTCATCCTCATTCTTTTTCAGAGTACCTCGACAACTTTACAAATGGTAGTCCATATAAGTCCTCGACAGCATTTTCTGAAGTCGTCAGTAATGGCTCGAAAGCAAATGAAGGCTTTATTGCACATAATGTTCGTGGAGTGGATAGCTTTAACGGAGGTGGTAAGCTCTTTATCTCTAAATTGCTACTGCTTTGATAATTTTTTTGAAGAATAGGGATGTTATGTAGGTGACAATTGTGAGTTTAAGAAGATTGTCTGTCGTAGCACACTATTAGGATGGTCCTTACAATTTTAGTCGACTGTGAAATGTGCTACAGCGATGAAAACTCTAGGTACTGTAGTCTCTAGACAACTGTTTTTTTTTCTAAGCATTCTTGGTGTAAAACTTCTCGTCCTGGGGAAAATATTATTAGTATTATGCTCTTAATTTCAGTCATCAGGACAGATCAGGTGGTGAAAAATGGTTGATTTGTAGTTGAATTGAATATGGCAGTTTTTTGTGTATGTCAACAGAATTGCACAATTACTGAATGCTATTAAAATTTTAATTTTGAAGATTGTGATGAGGTTTTTCTTCTACTGTCATACATGATATTGTTTTTACTCACTTTTAGTTGTTGTGGTCTTTTGACTGTAGGCATAGGGTCTCCCATGAATCAAAGCTCCCGCCGCCCTAACCTTAATTTGTGGAGCAATTCTAACCCTCAGCAAGCGAATTCGTCAGGTGGCATGATGTGGCCTAACTCGCCGTCTCACCTCAACAGCATTCCTAATCAGCGCCCACCTGTTACTGTATTCTCTAGAGCACCTCCTGTTATGGTAAATATGGCATCTTCTCCAGTGCACCACCACATTGGATCTGCGCCAGTATTAAACTCACCTTTCTGGGATAGAAGACAAGCCTACGTAGCTGAATCTCTAGAATCGCCTGGCTTCCACATAGGTTCTCATGGTAGCATGGGGTTTCCTGGCTCTTCACCCTCACATCCAATGGAAATTGGTTCTCATAAGTCCTTTTCCCATGTTGCTGGGAGTCGCATGGATATAAATTCCCAAAATGCTGTACTGCGATCTCCCCAACAGTTGTCTCATCTCTTCCCCGGGAGGAACCAAATGGTTTCAATGCCGGGTTCATTTGACTCGCCAAATGAACGATACAGGAATCTCTCTCACCGTAGAAGCGAGTCTAGCTCTAGTCATGCTGACAAGAAATTGTATGAGCTTGATGTTGACCGTATATTGCGTGGGGATGATGTCAGGACAACACTGATGCTTAAAAACATTCCTAATAAGTAAGTGAACTGAGTGTCTCTCTTTTATTCCTTGCTTATATATCTTTAGTTAGCTTCGTAGGTTGTCTGATGTATTCTTTTCCAATTGTTGACTCTCTCTTTTATGCTGCTATGGTTTAGGTATACTTCTAAGATGCTTCTATCTGCCATTGACGAGCACTGTAAAGGAACATATGATTTCCTATATCTGCCAATTGACTTCAAGGCAAGCAGGCGTCCCTCCTGCCTTTTTATATACTAAAGTCTTATGCAGAAGTTGGGCTTTTGACTTTTGTTTTCTAACCTATTTTTACCTTCTCGTTTCAGAACAAATGCAATGTGGGATATGCTTTCATCAACCTTATCGAACCTGAAAAGATTGTACCATTTTATAAGGTACTGTTGCTGCTTTTATATATCTTTTGGCCTTTTCTGGAAAAACATTGACTAAAAGTTCTAAAAACACTCGCAGGCGTTTAATGGCAAAAAGTGGGAGAAGTTCAACAGCGAGAAGGTGGCAACTCTTACATATGCTCGAATCCAAGGGAAAGTAGCTCTTATTGCCCATTTCCAGAACTCAAGCTTAATGAACGAAGACAAACGTTGCCGGCCTATTCTTTTCCACACCGATGGTCCAAATGCTGGTGATCAGGTGAATGTTATTAACACATCAGATAACATCACTTTGTTAGGTTCTCATTTCTTATTAATGACTCAAATTTGCACTCTCTTTGGTTGCACGTATTGAAATGGGTTCTTAGTGGTCTCATAAGCTCAAAGAAGTGGTGTGATGCTCAGTTATTCAATGAGAGATTGATTTGTTTCAAAATTTTCACCTTTGCTGTTATTATTTTGTAGGAACCATTTCCAATGGGTACCAACATACGATCAAGACCAGGAAAGCCACGGAGCAGTAGCATTGATAACCACAACAGCTTTAGCATCGCTTCCGTTTCAGAAAACCGAGAAGAACCTCCTAATGGAGCCGATCCATTCTTGAAGGAGAACTAACCAATGAGCAAAAACTAGCAGAGGTAAAGAAAGTTAAGGAAAACTGGAGAGAGCTAAAGATAACAAAAGGTTTATATTATAAATCATATCATCAACACACCCTAGAGTTCTGTAAATCGGGGGTGTTAAATTTTCCCTGACAAAACTCATTTTGCAGTGAAGTTTTTTTTTGTGTGGAGAGATCATAAACTTTGTTGACCACAAAACCTTCCCAGGTTGCTTCACCAGTTTTGTTGTATTATCAAAATCCTCAGAGAAATCTTCCAGAGTTTCTCTTTACCTTTTTGTTTTTTTGTTGTTGTCTTGTTTGGGGTTAAATTCAAGGATTTTTGGTTCGTGCTATCAATGTAGTAGTATGTAACAAGCCTTGGATTACATACAACTTCTTTGCTGGCTTTTTGTGGCCATTTCATGTTGTAACTTTTTTGGAGATCTTTTGAATGCTTCCTTTTTGGATATAATAGAAATGTTCCTAGTCTTCTTTTTTACATGATTGCATGGTCACCAGATGAGTCCGGAGACAGACGCATTGAAACAATGCAACTATTTTAGACATTGAGCAGTCAAAAACTGTAGAGAACTAATCTGTGTCTTTTCTAGTTCTGGCATGAGCGTTTAAACAGCGCCGGTTGAGTTGAGTAGCTCTGTTATAAGGTTTGGTGCTGTGAGAGGCAGTTTACTGCTAGGTTTCTCCATATTGATACAGTTGTTAGGCCATCAAAGACATGGAAGCTTCATAAAACAGAATCTCTAGCCGAACCATCCTTTCTCCACAGGATCTGACCACATTCTTCCCGTTACCAACAACTTATGGCACGACAAGAGGTTTACCGTCCCTAAAATCTCTGCTGTTCTTGAGCTACGCATACAGGCAGGAGTAGAGATTGAGAAGTTCCCATCAAAGAGAAGATCCAAACCTGTGTACAGCTACAGTTTCACAAGAAGGTGATCGCTGCAGCGCAGAGAAGAATAAGAAGAAGAGCTTGAAGGAATTAAGCGCTGAGACAATGGAGTCATGGTTTGGAATGGTTTCAGGGGTCAAAAAATTGATGGAGAGATACAAAGTGTGGACTTGTGGTTACTGTCTAGAGATTCAAGTAGGTCCAAAGGGACACAAAGTGAGGATGTGTAAAGCGACAAAACATCAGATGAGAGATGGAATGCACCCATGGCAGGAAGCTAGTATTGACGATGTGGTTTGCCCAAACTACGTGTGGCATGTTCGTAATCCAGATGCTTCTTCTGCTCTTGACAATAGCTTGCAAAGGTTTTACGGGAAATCTCCTGCTGTTGTAAAGTTGTGTGTTCAAGGTAGTGCACTAGTGCCTGAACACTACAATGAGACAGTTGATATAAAAAAAAGAGAAGAAGATAAACTCATGTTATATATTACGAAAATTAGGTAACACAGTTTTGGTTCTTTGTATCTCTCCCTAAGCTCTACTCCTTGCAGCTGCAATCTCACTACGCAGCTTCTCAATATCTTTAACTGCTCCAATTATATTACTCTCCATCTCCTTCAACTGCACAAGCTTCTCCACGTTCCCACTCTTCTCTACATCAAACTCTTCCCTGTCTCCATTAAAACCAAAAATGATCAAAAACCAATAAATCTTTTCAACATCTAAAAAGACAGTTTCCTTTTATCACCTTAACCTCTGATGCTCTTCTTTCAACCTCTCAAGCTCTTGCGTCGACGTCTCTAAACCCTCAGATTCTAAACAAACCTTCTTCAACTCCTTAACAGCCACTTTCACCTGTGAAGCCAACTCTTCCCTTTCTCTAGCCAACCTATGAGCTTCAATATGAGCTAACTGCAGCTCCCTCCTTATATTATCCCTATTGTTGACAATCCCTTCAAGCTTCACTATCTTCTCCAACGCCCCACGGATCTGAATCTCTCCGTCTGTTTCCGTCTTGATGATGTGAGCTCTAAGGCCCTGGACTTCGCGGTCAGCTAGGGATAAGTCTTCCTTGAGAGCCACGTAGGAAGCGGCTAGCTTACGGTTGTCGCTGGAGAGACGGTCTATCTCTGCAGCTCGAGCTGCGATCTTGTTTTCGAGAACGTCGGAGTGGGAGACACGGTTGCTGTCGGAAGTCTCGTGGTGGTGGTGGTGCCTTGATGATGATGATGATGTAGTTGATGATATGCCTCTGTTGTAATGCCTCTCTCTTGAAGACATATCTGCAAGGGAGAAAAAAGATTAAAGAATTAAAAAAAAGGAATATATTTTTTTAGGGCACAAATCCAGAAACTAGGAATCAAGAACAGAACCCTAACTAGCTAAAGGAGACAAAAGCAATTCAGACGCTAATCACACGAACCTGAAAATTTACAACTTGGGGGAGATGAAATCGGACACCAGCTTCGGTCTCTGTTTTTGCTAAATATCTTGATTTTGTTCTAACTAATTTTTATGATTGTGTTCTTTGTTGTTTTAGAAGCAATCACAATGTGGGCCGAGATTAATCTGTTAAGGCCCATTAGAATCTGACCCATTTGTTTCATCCATGGTTTGTCACGTGAGTTGCACACGACCGAAAGTCATCTTTCATGAACAACTGCGTATAGAAGGAATGGTCTTTATGGGAAGCATTGGTGGCAAGTTGGATATAGAATCTGAAGCATTTGATAAGAAATATCCAGCTCAGGTAATGTCATACCTGTTAGATTAATCAAAAACTGAATGTGGCTATGATTATTTTTTTTTATCTTCTTGATCTAATTAGCATGTTGGATTAAGAATTGTCATCCCTTGTAAGAAAGCAACTTCAAGTCTGCTATCTATGAGAATTACAAAGCGGCCACAAGTTTAAGCAAAAAATTTCTCCTCACCAAGTAATACACTTTTCCTTGATATTTACAAGACATGTTTTACTATTTACTTTTTTCTAATTTGAACACAAAGGATCATGGATTGCAGGTTATGTCTCTACTTCAGCATCAAAACAGGAAGGGGAAACTAGTCAGCGGCATGAGATCCCTGCTGGAGCCTATTATCACTCAGAAACACATGCTCAAGCTAGTGCATACACTCAGCAACCACAGCCTATAATCATACACCTTAAAACACATGCAAGAGAGCACTCTGTTAATTCTCGAACTCAGTTTAGAAACATGGTTATAGATTCAGGTGAGAAACAGTTTGATGCTGAAACCTCTTTGCATTATCTTTGCAGGATCTGGGAAAAAAAGAGCTATGCATATAAGGTTTAAGGTTTTAATTTCTGCGCTATAGTCCTCAAATCCTTATTCAGAATCACAAGTGCAATTTGAAATGCAAATCTGAATGAGATACAAATTAGTAAAAACATATCTAAACGCCTTTATCACAAGCTCTCCTAAAACATTGTTTTATGTTTGATATTTTGGATTTGCTATTAAGAATATGTTTATTCACTCTTAAGATTAACTGACTTAAACGCAAAGATCTGTTGGTAGAAGAAGAAAGACTTTTTTTTTTGCTTTGGTTTTGAGTTAATCTATGGGGGGTCTTAAAGTCTCCCACACTATGTATATGATTGAGCACTTGCATTGTAATTCCACATGTTCTCTTGCTTTTTTCTCTAAAAAAAAAAGAAGAAGTATCTCCTTTTTCTTATTTCTCAAGGACTTTGATTCAGAGCTCTCTGTCTCTGTCTTTCTTTCCCCATATTGTATTTACATTTGCTTAGGTACAGTATGTACTTAGGTTCTGGTCCTGCTTTTTTTTTTTGATGATGTGTTTGTCAATGGTCCTGTCATTTTACAGCAGCTTCTGTACACAGAAAGAAAAAAAAACTGAAATGTGGAAAAAACATACAGAGTAATTATCCAAATGTGTAAAATATTCTAACATGAAAGTCCCTAACTATTTCCTACCGTCAGCTTAATGGCAATTGTCGTGTTTTTTACAACAAGTTACACCAAACATGGTCTGAATATTTTTCAAAAGCAACAGGTTTAAATGTAGTCTGAATTTTTCTCAATTTTTTTGTGAACATTTCTCAACAGTTTCTGTGAAATAATAATTATTCAGTAGAAGAATGATAACTACAATTGGCTAAAAATTGGAAAAGAATATATATATATATATATATATATAATTATTGAATAAAATTATTGACCCAATAATGTCAAGAAAAATGCTTATAATAGTTTTTTTAATTGTACTTTAGATGGAAATCAATTGTTCGACTTAATTATTACTATTATTTATTGGCCACGAGCCTATGATGTCACAATAAACAATGATTCTATTGGTGTACTGTAAACAGAAAACGAATGTTTCTAACAATATTAAATTGCTAACAAATGAATAAATAAACATCATTTAGATCAACTAGTCTTTACATCATATTTCCCAGAATGTAGTTAAGTTCTCCGCAAACCAATTAGCATGTGCCATGACATTGGCACCTTGATTTTATAAAAGCACCAACGCTGGTTAATAAGAAAATGTTAATCACCCTCTAAACAAGAATAAACAAAAGTTGAATGTCCACTAAGACTCGTTAATAAAAAAACAATTTGACTAAGACTCTTTCTGAGAAAGAGAGTTTCTAAGAAACTAGCTGAAAGGTTCTTGGATACTTCGTCTAAAAAAGAGTATAAAAAAGAGTTAGACGAGGGAGGCAGTCATTCAAAATAAAAAGGTCGTGTTAGCATAAGTGGGGTCCTATTAACTTCCCTGAATCTTTCTTCTTTGTTTGAATTGTCTCTTGTGTTGTTGTTCCATCCACCGTTTTCTATGGGTAACTGCTGCTCCGATGTCTCCTCTGGAGCTATAGCCGGCGTTGGTGGAACTGCTTCCTCCGCCAACCTCGGCACTACTAACGACGCCGTTGATCACTATCTCAACTCTAAAGGTTTCAACGGTCTCTTCTCTCACGTCGAGGTTCCCCTCTCTTACATCATTTAATCTCATTGTAGTTCCTATTCTGTTTTTATCTATTAGGTATAAAATATTCCACATCAGAAATTCAATGCGACCTTAAGTAATATATAAAGGGTGACGATATGTGGGATACATTATCCCTAATATTATCTATGCGGTTTATATTTGATATAATGTTGTTTTGTTTTTGCAGCTGTCGTTCTCTGCTTCCGATTTGCGAGACTGTGACGTGCTCTCCAAGGTTATTATCAGTGATGGAGCTTTGAATACAATATGTTATGTAGTGTCTATCAAGAGAACCGATGAAACATTTCTCTTTTTTTTTTTTTTTTTTTTTTTAATTGCAGAGTGATCCTT